ACAAATGCCGGCGATTATTCAACGCAGCACCATCACCCTCATACTCTCTAAAGGCAGTTACAGGAGCGGCAAAGAAGGAAGCAATGGGGGATCCCTATAACCGTCCATTTTTATCATTTTTTTCTTCGTATTTTTTTTTATATATATTATCTTGTATTTCTTTTGTGTATATACCACCACTTTTTTCGCCAAACTCGCTAAAAACAAATTCCTGTTTCACTAAGTATTTTTATTTCATGTATTTATTTTAAAACATGGCACATGGAACTAGAACAGTCTACCCCAGTGAACGAAATAAAGGATTCAGTTTAACATTCCAACCACCTGATGAAGGCCGGAGCGTACAACGGCCGAAACATTGTAATAAATATGGCGACAAAGATGAGGACAATAGCCCGAATAATGTAAATAGTGTACATAATACCTCATCTCAGAAATATAGACAGATAATGATTGGATTTAATGTCAATTTTTTGTGTTTATTTTTTTATGAAAAATGGTTTGATTAAAAAAAATGAAGCTAAAATGAAAAAAAAGAAATATCAAAAATTGATTTTTTTTTCTTTCTGTGCGGAAGCGGGGCCCAAATAGCCATAAAGAAATGCTTTTAGTTATTCTTCTTATTCTGGTAGTGAAATCTCTGTTGATATCTCATGTAATTATGTTTATTTTAGGGTTGAAAAGATACCATCTACTATGAACTACTCCCTGATAAGGAAACGATTGATTTGAACAAGTATTGCTTACAACTACACCAACTGAGGCAGAAATTGACGAAATGCGTTTGGAATTATTTGAGCGTAACTGAATAATGTCCCCACGGGATAACACTACTCATTCTTCGAATTCAACAGATATCGCACCTGTAGACCAGATGTGATTCCGATCTTTACATCATCGTCTTAAAATAATAATAATAAAAAAAGAAGAACTATTTTCAGGACGACTGCAAAAGGTACAAAGATAAGTTATTTACTCGGAAAAATATAGTTCTGGGAATTTAAATTAAGAAGTAGTTTGAAAGATATCAAAACCGGAAGCGAAAATGCAAACACGTAATTTTCATTAGTTGCAGTATTGTCAACAATTATATTTTTTAATTGGCATCTCGTTCATCTTAATATCAGTTGCTTTTCATTGCAGTTGCTTAAGCCGTAGAACAAGGTTCTCGGCATGACTCGAACTTGCATTCCATTTAACATGAGCTGAGCGACAACTTATCTGACATTTTAGCTGACGATTAAATATATAAAATCGAGTCATATAAACTTATGTAATTTCCTTATTTCTCGGATCCACAATATTTGAAATATTTGTTTTGATTTATACATACTAATGGCGTTGCTTTGCATGTCGACTCTTGCTTCTTGTTATATATTGGTAATTCTTCAGGCCCCCAACGCTGCATTACAGAGTGAATGAAAGACAGACAATTTCCTTTAGTTTTTAATCGCTTTATTTCATAGGGAACAGTAGTCGTGGCATCATGTCCTAGAAGAAATGAGAAGGAGAGGGTGATAGGGAGGACGGATGTCAATAGGTTGGTCAATTACTCACCTCTACGTGGCGGTCTGTCTGGCTAAAGAATCTTGGTGCCGTGAGGCGTCTTCACTCTTCTGTACGTTGGTTGGTGGTTTTTGTTTAGAGTGATATCAACACTTCTGTGGGTTATTTAATGGTGAAATATTTTGAACATAATTTTATGGTTTTAACTAAATATATTTTGGAGGAAATTGTATGCCCTCAAAATTAAAAAAAATATATATTGCTGGTATTTTAACTATAAAATGTTATTTTTTGCTGTGGGGATCACTATTTGCCCATAACTGGGGATCAAACAGGTCCTATCATCACCAGTCAGGGTGGAGCTGGGAACAACACCAATTGGTACCACACTCCTCAAAACATCCCGGTCAGTGGTCTTGCTGCCAGATGTAGTTTATCATCAGACCCAGGACGATTGAGTAGAATGACA